AGGCGCTGATCATAGAGCGGCTGGGGGCCTTCTGGGAGGGGAGGTGGCGGGAGTTGTTCGACGCTGCCATGGCGGCGGCACGGCCAGCAGTTCGCCCACTTGCCTACACGTGCTCTGACCAGGACCCGGAGGCCATCCGCCTGTCACGGTGCCGATCTCGGTGTAAAGTGGGAGAGTGGAGCCGTGGTTTGTCTTGCCTCACAGCAGGAGAGTTGGCTCGACCAACTGAGGCTATGGTGCAGTCGCTGCGAGGGAAGCACCCAGCTAGCAGTGGCGAGGTACCACCGTGGGTTCGTGAGTTTACTGTCGACGCTCCTCAGCGGCCTCCACTCACGACCGACATTCTGGCTAGAGCTATCCACACAGCTGCTCGCGCCTCAGCTGCAGGGCCATCGGGATGGGTCACAGAGCATCTGCGCGACACTTTCCTCACGGAACCTTCCTGCCTCTCCCACCTGCTGGAAGTGTTCAACCAATGGGTGGCGGGACAGGTCCCCGAGCGAGCTCGGCCCTGGCTCGCCGCATCCAACCTAGTCGGGCTTTCCAAACCCAACGGTGACGTCCGGCCGGTGGCGATCGGGGAGGTGCTTCCGCGTATCCTCGCTCGAGCTCTCTGCATCTCGCTTCGCCCTGTGATGGCTTCTTATTTTCTGCCGTGTAACCAGCTGGGAGTGGGCACCAGGGCCGGGGTGGAGATTCTTACTCATTCTTTCCGGTCAGCGCTGGCCACTCACCCCGACTGGTGTGCGCTGCAGATAGATGTCGCGAACGCCTTCAATTCGTTTCATCGCCACGCGATGTTCGAGGGGCTGAAGGAGTCGCCTTTCTCAGGAATGATCCCATTCTTGCGTGTCTTCTATGGGACACCTAGCGACCTGTACCTCCGAGCGGGCCCTTTCGTACAGAGTCTTGAGTCGGCACGAGGATCGCGACAGGGGGACCCGCTCGGCCCTTTTCTTTTCGCTTTCACGCAGCAGCAGGTGCTGGGGACGGTGACTAGAGAGTTCAGGGACCTACTTTTCTTGAGCTATGCAGACGATACCTACATCCTGGGACCAGCGGCTAGGATTCTGGAGGCTTTTGGGGTGCTGCGAGAGAGGTTGGAGTGGGTGGGGCTGGAAGTGCAGGCGCACAAGTGCAGGTTTTGGGAGCGTGGAGGTGGGGATATGGAGCGGGCATTGCCTTTGGGGATGCAGCGGGAGGAGGAGGGTCTTACTGTGGTGGGCGTGCCTATTGGGGAGGAGGATTGGGAGGGGGCCCGATTACGGAAGCGGCTTCGCGAGTTGCAGGCGCCATTGCCGTGGCTCCCCCTGCTCGACCACCCCCAGATGGCCTCGCATCTCCTCGCTATTGCAGTTTCAGCACGGCCGATGTACCTGGCCCGGACTATGCCGCCGCGGCCGGAGGTGGTGGAGGCCTTTAGAGAGTGGGACAGCTGTCTGGAGGATTGCTTTGAGCAGCTTTTCCCCCCTGGCACTTGGGAGCAGGATCCCGGCAGGTCTAGGCGCGCACGCATGCAGCTGCATCTCCCTGTGCGCCTCGGAGGGTTTGGGATCCGGGCGGCGGCCTCTTTGAGTCCGCTCTCCTATGTTTGTGGGTGGGCGCAGGCCGCACGGGATATTGCACATTTGGGGGTGGCGGGCGAGGAGGCGATGTTTGCAGAGTACCTCACCACTTCGGCGGGGGCGGAGCTTCTTGACCCGTGGTTTGCCAAGGCCATTGAGCAGTTGCCCGCGACTATACGCCAGGAGCTGCCGGACTTACCCCTGTGTGTGGCGGCCCCTCCTCTTCGGCTTTTCCAGGCGCGGCAGCGGCAGTTGGCTGTTGAGGAGCTCCAGGCACTCCGCCGCTTGGCTCGTGACGATGCCACCCTGGCCCGTTTCACATCCCTTCAGGGCCCGGGGGCTGGTGCATGGGTTTCGGCAGTTCCGGCTCATTCAGATCTCACATTCACTGCAGCGGAGTGGGGCATTGCTGCTGCTATACGGCTTGGTCTCCCAATCCAGCAGCTGCAAGTGGCGGGGAGGTGTGTTTGTGGCACAGCGTATGATGACCCAGCAGACCCGCATCATGCGCTGAGATGCAAGCACCAACACGGTCCATCTCGGGTGCATGATGAGGTGAAGTTTGCGGTGGCAAAGATCGCTAAGGCGTCAGGGGGGGTGGTGACGATGGAGGATAGTGCGGTGCTGCCGGGGAAGCGGGTTGACGTAGCGGTGCGACGACCAATGGCTGGGGAGGCTCATGCTTTAGAGATTAGTGTCGCGGACCCGCTATCACTGTCTCCATCTCTGCTAGGGCAGTGCGGGCGGTCTATAGGCGTGGCGGCAAAGGAGTGGGAGCGTCGCAAAACGGGGGATTACGCGCCTCTTCTTGCACGGAACCGAGGCGTGCAGTTCACCCCTTTGATAGTGGAGACGTGGGGGTGTCTCGGCGGTCGCTTCCGGCGGTGGCTTCGACAGCAGGGGGACGCGCACGTGGGGCTAGCTGTGTCACGGGGGGCTTGTCGGGAGGATGACACTTCGTTCTCGGCTTACCTTTTGGGGTCTCTGAAGGCGCTCATCGGAGTGGCGTTACAACGGGCGCAAGCTCGTGTCATCCTGCTTCGGGCGGCGTCTTCCATGGGGGGGTTGAATGTGGACTTGGTGGATCGGGAGAGGGACGATGTCGAGGTGGAGGGCGGGCCTCTTTGGGTGGAGGCCCCCTACATGGTGGATGTGCAGATGTGGGGGGGGGGGGGGGGGGGGGGGGGGGGGGGGGCGAGGGGGAATGGGGTGCGAGATGGGACGTCTGGTAGGGGATTTTGGTTGGGTTTTTTCTTTATGGAGTATTTTTATGGGGCTTTTTATGGGTGTTGCGTTTGAGTTGTTTCTGGTGTCTTTCTTTCCCTTTTCCTTCTCCCTCTTTCCCTTTTCCTCTTTCAAAAGCGTGAAGCCAGTTTCTGGGACTTAATATGAAAATGCTTTTGTATACTGAAAAAAAAAAAAAAAAAAAAAAAAAAAAAAAAAAAAAAAAAAAAAAAAAAAAAATCGCATTGTATGTTGGGGGATCCTGGATGGGAAAGTGTAGTTTCGCCCCAGTGGCCTGGCAAGAACCTGCCTTGGGCTATTAGCGAATGGTACTATGGTGCAGCTGTTGCTGCCCGTATGCATGGCCATAGAAAGTAGGGTGCGGTGTTACCAAACATCACAACCAGCTGTTTTGCGTGATTTGGGATATTGTTTGTACTATATGTTGTCATTGCTTTGCAGCATTTCACCTTGAAAACAATGGAGCTTTAGTCACCCATGCGACCACACACACCCATGTATGCACTCGCGCATACAATTTAGTGTTTTTAAAGTTGACAAGGGAAGGGAAACTCCCGTGGACGCTAAAAATCCGTCGAGAGCCATTACATTGAGGATTAATACATGTGCAACACCGTTCATTGCTGCCTGGTGCTACAACAGCATGACAACTACTGAACTTCTAAGCCCTAAACCCCATCAAGAGCAACCACATTAGAGATCAGTACAGATGTTACGCTGCTTCCAGGTGCTACAACAAGCAAAGACGGAGGCACAGCATCATGGTTCTCTGACAAAACACGGCTCCCCGTCTCTTTATAAGACGTCCTGTACACCTCAACAGAAGCCGGGACAGCCTGGTTGTACACTCCAAACGAGGATATCGAAACCGTTATGCTGTAATCCGACCAGTCTTGATTCACGATGAATACTGACAACAGGTGCCGCTCGGGGTGGAAAAAGGCGGATACCGAATGATGACACCCGTCGGATGAGTCGATTTTCAAGGGGAAACTCCCCTTGGGAGCCCCTCGAATAAATTGCCATAACATGTAGTACTTCTTTGAAAACGTAACTTGTAACGGAGGAGCGGTGGAGTTGTTGATGCGGTTATAAGGAATAATGAAGAGCCCCCAAAGATTAATTGCAGAAGGGTCCTTCTTATCCTCCTTGTTGAGTGCTTGCCAGAAAATCCACGCTGAAGCTCCCAGTATATTTACCGACTGAATAATACACCTCGCGATAAACGCAGTTACCGCCATGTCGTCACCGGTTACAAAAAGAGGGCCCATTTCCGACACCCACACCTCCTTCCCCAAGGCCGCTGCCCTTTCCCGTAAAGGACCAAACTTGCCTTCGATATAATCACGTGCGTCTGTGCCATTTTCTGGGGGAGACACGTACCCATGCACGTTGATTCGAGTGAGGGCGGATTTGACTAACGGCGAAAACTCCTCCCAGTTTCGAAAGGTTCGTCCAGCGAAACTGTCGAAACCAGCAACTCCAGTTCGGTCGAGCAACCGTCTCCTTTTAAGCGTCCCCACCACATGCGCTATAAGCATGTTAAGCTCCGTGCCGTTGAAGTTACACCCTTCTTGGCGGTTACCGCGCACCCACCACCCTTCTAGCGCCTCATTGGCCGGATTCAGCGTCGAGAACGTTACGTTCCACTCCTCCCGGAAATGCGCGACAACGTCCGCTAAATACCCCGCGTACGCCAAGTAATACCCTCTTTTTAAGTTACTCTTACCGGCACTTAGCCCCGCGGTGTCCCCACTAACAGTCATCCACCAAGGGGGGGAGTAAGCCACTGCTTCTACCTCCTCCACTCCCCGCTCGATCGCTCCAGCTAACACCCTCCTCTGCCGCCAATCCGCCGACCAATCGTACGGCCCGGACGAGGTTACGCGGTAACCAGGAATCGCCATGACTTCGCAGGCCTCTGTGAGGAATTGGGGGCTGAGGAGGGGGTTGAAGCTGGCCCCGATAAGGTATCGTGCGAGGTTCAACCCGAGGCCGATGGAGGGATGAAAGAGCAGGTCGAGGAGGAAAGAGAGCTGGTGGGGTGGGAGCTTGCCAATGTAGTTGGCGAACCTGGAGGGTTGAATGCGGTGAAGAGGGTTGTAAAAGGGAAATTAGGGGGTTGGATGCGGTGAAAGGGGGTGGAAAGAGGTGTGGAAAACAAAGGGCACGGGAGGTTCAACCCGAGGCCGATGGAGGGATGGAAGAGCAGGTCGAGGAGGAAAGAGAGCTGGTGTGGTGGGAGCTTGCCGATGTAGTTGGCGAACCTGGAGGGTTGAATGCGGTGAAGAGGGGTTCAGAAAGGACTTTAGGGGGTTGGATGCGGTGAAAGGGGGTGGAAAGAGGTGTGGGTAACCAAGGGGCACGGGAGGTTCAACCCGAGGCCGATGGAGGGATGGAAGAGCAGGTCGAGGAGGAAAGAGAGCTGGTGTGGTGGGAGCGCCGATGTAATTGGAGAACCTCGGGGAGTTGGATGCGGTGGAGAGGGGTTCAAAAAGGAAAGCAAGGGATTGGATGCGGTGAAAGGGGGTGGAAAGAGGTGCGGACAACCAAGTGAAACAAGGGGTCAACCCAAGGCCGATGGAGGGATGGAGGAGAAGGACGAGGGGGAGAGTGAGCTGGTGAGGTGGGAGCTAATCATTGTAAATGGCGAGCCTGGTGGATTGGGGGGTAGGCAGAAGGGGAGAAGGAGGGATATGGTGCAGGTAGAGGTGAGAGGTGAGAGAGGTGAGAGAGGTGAGAGGTGAGAGAGGTGAGAGGTGAGGGAGGTGAGAGGTGAGGGAGGTGAGAGGTGAGGGAGGTGAGAGGTGAGGTGAGAGGTGAGGTGAGAGGTGAGGGAGGTGAGAGGTGAGGTGAGAGGTGAGGGAGGTGAGAGCTTGCCAATGTGGTGGGGGGATTCAGGTGGCGCGGTTGCTGGCGATGGGAGGGAAGAGAAGGGAACAAAGGACGGAGAGGAAAGAAGAGGCAACAGAGTGGAGAAAAGAGGAGAGCTCGCCTAAGACCCCGCAGCTGGCAAGGCTAGGGAAAGGCAGATGAGAGGAAGAGTGTCATGCAACAAAAAAAACAAAACACACACACACAAAAAAAGAGGGGCCTGAGATGGTCTTAACATGAATGCAATGCAAGGACCCAAAAACTCCCGCCCACCCCTCCCACTCCCCCTCCTCTCTCCCTTGGAATCACACAATCTCAGCACGAATGCAATAAAACCCTCCACCGCTCATGACCATACCAAACCCATCCACATTCTTACCATCCCAGCGAGGTGCCCCATCCTCTCCACGTCTGCCCCATACGAGCAGGGGAGATTTGCACTTCAGAATGGCCTGGGAATAACAATCAGGCAGATAGGGAAGGGTCCAATGCGGTGCAACGAGGTGAGAATGGGGCACATACCCACACATGCAGCATGGACCGTCCTCTCCTCTGCCCCATGCGGGCAGGGAAAATACACACTGCAGCATGTCCTGAATGATCAAATTTCCAACAGGTACGCATGAAACCCTAAAAGACAAAAACCGGAAAAAGAGAAGAAAAAAAGAAAAGAAAAGAAAATAATAAAAAAAAAAGGATACGTTTGAGGCGGTTCTCCCACCTGCCAAGCTGCAGACTGAGAATCTCAATTTGACTGAATTTGGTCATCAGACGTCAAGCCCGACTTGCTAACGCTGACGAAAATTCCCCCACCTGCCGGTGTGCAGACTGGGAGTATCTCAACTCGGTTCTCATAAACTTCAAATACCACATTATTTATATATTACCTGCCTGCGTTCACCTACCTGCCGGTGTGCAGACTGTGAGAATCTCGGTCTCGGGACGAAGGCCTCTGCTGTCCTTCTTGCCGTTCTTATCCTCGTCATTGCCCCTCTCGCTATTGTCCTTCTCGCTATTGCCCTTCTTGTCGTTGCCATCCTCGCCATTGTCATTCTCGCTATTGTCATCCTCGGCTTTGGCCATGTTCACAACGGCAGCCATGTCTGGAGCCACCCTTCCCCACCCTCCTCCCTCTTCTTCCAGCCCCTCGATATTGCCATCCTCGTCATTACAATCCCCGCCGTTGCTATCCTCGGCATTGCTATCCCCGCCACTGTCATCCCCGTCATTGGCCATTTTCACAACGGCAGCCATGTCTGGAGCCACCCTTTCCCACCCTCCTCCTCCTTCCACTCTCCAAATCACTTCGTTTCCTCTAACCTTCCCTCTCAAACTATCTTTGCCTACCCTCTCCTCTCCTCCCTGATTCGCTGCTTTAACTCCGCGTATCGTCGTGTCTGCTTCTGTTGAAGCCTCCTGAAGTTTCTCCTGAATGCAGGAATTCTGTTCACGCTCCGTGGGAGTGTCGGAAGTGTAATCTTCCCTAGGCAAGAAGGAAATTTGATTCTGTTTTTTGTCCACATCGTTCCGGAATTCGCGGAGGTCGTTAGTAGTAGGAGCAGCAGCGGCGCACACGCGTAATGGAGGGAAACGTGCGACAGCGAGGGCTAGCAGAAGGAGGAGAATTGTCGCCTGGCGACTTTGTGCGACAAACGGAGCCATTTGGCTGTCGCGTAGAGGTCTAAGAATCCCGCGTTGAGGAGTGAAAGGCCTGCGTAGGGGAGTGGAAGCCATTTATCTTCTTCCCCCTTTGGTCGTCACATGTTTCGTTGGTGATGTTTCCTGCTTCCTCAGTCACCGCCGCAGTCACACCATCCCCCCTTGAGGTAGGCATCCAACATCAGTGAACCGACGTCGAGACCCCGTTTAAGATACCTCGTGTCCTGCGAGGAGCATGAAACGAGGGTGACCCCGATGCAAAACTTTCAGGATCTGGTACGCGAGCGGGAACACGCATGTCACACACGCATGTGACACATTCAAAGGTGCTACGCGGTTGGGCTACGATTCAGCTGTTTATTCTGGTTTCTTGCATGGTTTGAAGTGCTCCTAGAAAGGCAGCACTGAACAGAACAACACTCGATGGGGAAGTCCTACAAAGAGACGTTTTAAATTTATGAAAACGAACCAGACCAGTTATCGGATAAATTTATATAAAATACAGAATTAGCTTTAATTGATTAGGTTAGGAAGATCTCCACCAGTGCGTAATAGCCATAGCAAGTGTCACACCACTCCTACCAACCCGCTTGTTCCAGTCCGGATATGCAGCCATGCAATGTGCATCATCTGTCACAACAAAAGCGGATTTGCTCCTATGAGTTGCACTCGCTCTTGCAACGACATCATTTATTGTCGTGCGTAATGTGAGTCGATATTTCTCCAAGGATCGTAACACGGGTGCAGAACACGCCCTGTTAAGTCCCGGAGTCATACACCTGTCAAGTGTGTTGTTGTCTGGGAGTCGAGGCGGGGAGAATGAAATACCGGCTCCAACTTTATCATACGTGCTTTGCACAATGAACATAGGTGTAGAAACGTATTGGAGGTTGTATTGAGGGAAAAAGCAGCGCCAAAGCTCCTTACTGCGCCAGTAAGCTGTTGAAGGGGGGACGAGCAACGGGGAAAGACTGAGTTAAAACACAACGACCATGGTAAAGAAGACGCAAGACTGGGGAGTTTACTTTGAGGCACCTAAAAACTGGCAATGGGAGAAGAGAAACTTAGAACACTTGAAAAGTGGTAAAGAAGATGAAAGGCTGTGAAGGGGAATGAAGAAAGGAAGGAAAAGGGAGAGGAGATGAAGAGAGGAAAAGGGAAAAGATTGACACCAAGGATGAGAACAAGACTGCCCAAGGAAAATCAGTTTGAATGGCGAGATAATGAAGGAAATTGGAAAGGTTACATTCAAATGAATTGCTTCAAACATACCCGTGCGACAATCGTCATCCGCAGCAGCAGTCATGGAATGGAATCGAAACATTCGCTGCACGATGCCTCGAAAGCTGTACTGCCCGCTGATGTCTGGGGTGTCTGGGGGAGGAATGAGAAAAAGGAGCGGGAAGTGGAAAGGGAGGGAGGGGAGAGAGGGAGCAAGAGAGGACAAGGCAGGGGGTCAGCATCAACATTAGCTGCACGATGCCTCGAAAGCTGTACTGCCCGCTGATGTCCAGGGTGTATGGGGGAGGAATGTGCAAGGAGGGCGGTAAAAGGAGAGGAGAGAGGGAGGAAGTGGGGGGAAGCAGGAGGGTCAGCATCAACATTCGCTGCTGCTATAGCGCCAGTAAGCACATGCAGCACACCGACGAAGCCAGCAAAGTGACTTTTGAGTCGACTCAAAAGTGGCATCACATGCCATGGACACTGCTATAGCGCCACCGACGCAATGCCAGCACACCGACGAAGCCAGCATCCTTGAGGCATTTCACTTCTAGTTTTGAGGCGCCTCGAAACATTGCATCACATGCCATGGACACTGCTATAGCGCCAGTAAGCACACGCAATGCCAGCACACCGACGAAGCCAGCATCCTTGAGGCATTTCACTTCTAGTTTTGAGGCGCCTCGAAACATTGCATCACATGCCATGGACACTGCTATAGCGCCAGTAAGCACACGCAATGCCAGCACACCGACGAAGCCAGCATCCTTGAGGCATTTCACTTCTAGTTTTGAGGCGCCTCAAAACATTGCATCACATGCCATGGACACTGCTATAGCGCCAGTAAGCACACGCAATGCCAGCACACCGACGAAGCCAGCATCCTTGAGGCATTTCACTTCTAGTTTTGAGGCGCCTCGAAACATTGCATCACATGCCATGGACACTGCTATAGCGCCAGTAAGCACACGCAATGCCAGCACACCGACGAAGCCAGCATCCTTGAGGCATTTCACTTCTAGTTTTGAGGCGCCTCGAAACATTGCATCACATGCCATGGACACTGCTATAGCGCCAGTAAGCACACTGACCAAGCCAGCATCCATGAAGCATTTCACTCCACCCACGGGAGGGCAAGCATGCGGGGGGGCCTGTGGACACTAGTAGTGCAAATAAAAGGGCCAGCGCACTCACCCATGAAGAAGCCGGCGTCCATAAGGCATAAGACTTTGGCCGTGTGAGGGAAGTGGAACTGCGCCATGGCATGGACACCGGTATAGCTCCGACAAGCCTATGCGCGATGCCAACATACTCACACACTCACCCATGAAGAAGCCGGCATCCATGAGGCATTTGACTTTGGCGGTGCGAGGGAAGTGCGTGTGCATGTAGGGGATACCAACAGTACCATAAGAGATGCCAGCTCACCCATGAAGAAGCCGGCGTCCATGAGGCATTTGACTTTGGCCATGTGAGGGAAGTGGAACTGCGCCATCGCATCACACGCCATCGACACCGCTATAGCGCCAGCAGAGCAGCCTGTAAGGAGGATGGAATCCGCTCGCTGCAGGCCCTTGTTGCTGAGATCTGGGGGAAGGAAACGTGGGGTTGGTTGGGGGGAGGGGGGGGATGTGCAGCCACGTGCTGTGTGTGTGTGGTGTGCGTGATGCATGTGTTATGTGTGCTGTAGCACCAGCGGAGCAGCCTGTAAGGAGGACGGAATTGGCTCGCTGCAGGCTCTTGTTGTTGAGATCTGAGAGAAGGGAATGTGGGGTAGTTAAGGTAGCGGAGTAGGGGGAGGATGGGGTGGATAGGCCAGGTGGGATATGGTGTGTGTTCTAGCACCAACGGAGCAGCCTGTAAGGAGGACGGAATCAGCTCGCTGCAGGCTCTTGTTGTTGAGATCTGAGAGAAGGGAACGTGGGGTAGTTAAGGTAGCGGAATAGGGGGAGGATGGGGTGAATAGGCCAGGTGGGGTATGGTGTGTGTTCTAGCACCAACGGAGCAGCCTGTAAGGAGGACGGAATCAGCTCGCTGCAGGCTCTTGTTGTTGAGATCTGAGAGAAGGGAACGTGGGGTAGTTAAGGTAGCGGAATAGGGGGAGGATGGGGTGAATAGGCCAGGTGGTGTGTGGTGTGTGTTCTAGCACCAACGGAGCAGCCTGTAAGGAGGACGGAATAAGCTCGCTGCAGGCTCTTGTTGTTGAGATCTGAGAGAAGGGAACGTGGAGAGATTATGGGTGAATATGTCATGTTGTGTGTGTGGTATCTGTGATACAGAGCAGCCTGTAAGGAGGACGGAATCCGCTCGCTGCAGGCTCTTGTTGTTGAGGTCTGAGAGAAGGGAACGTGGGGTAGTTAAGGTGGGTTAGCGGGAGGATGGGAGGTGGTGTGTGGTGTGTGTTCTAAGGGTAGCGGAGCAGTCTGTAGGGAGGGCAGAATCAGCTCGCTGTAGGCTCTTGTTGCTGAGGTTGAGGGAGGGGAACACGGGGTTGGTGGTGTGAAAGAGGGGGATAGGTTGGGGCAAGGCAATGCGAGGCAATGGATAGGGATGGGTGGGGGGTCAGTATACCTTCCCTGAGTTATTTTCGAGCATCTCAGATTGTGACGCACACATATAGTGTCTGTATAGGTTGCAAACTAGTTGAACGCACCTCCCAGAATTGAGTTCAGAATCGGTCGGCCGGAGAGATAGTACGGTTGAGAGTGGTCGTAGAGCATTTTTCCCTTCACCCCCGCGAAAACACCACCGTCGCAATACAGCACGACCACGGTGTTCCAGGAGTAGAAGTAGGGATTCTCCGACGAATCGCCGCTCAGCATGCCCTGAAAACCCGCTCCATTGCTGTCCAGCTGGTTGGATGGGGTACAGTTGGGGGGACGAACGGGGGAGGGAAGGTGTACAGTACACTTTGAGAGAGTGAAATGATACACCCCCGTCGCAATACAGCACGACCACCGTGTTCCAGGAGTAGAAGTAGGGATTTTCCGAAGCGTCGCCGCTCAGCATGCGTTGAAACCCCGCTCCCAAGCTGTCAAGCTGGTGAGGGGAAGGGTTGGGGCGGGGAGAGTGGAGGAGGGGATGCATACAGTACACATTGAGAGAGCGGAAAGATGCACGCCCGTCGCAATACAGCACGACCACCGTGTTCCAGGAGTAGAAGTAGGGATTCTCCGACGAATCGCCGCTCAGCATGCCCTGAAACCCCGCCCCCAAGCTGTCCAGCTGGTTGGGAGGGAAAAGGTAGTGGGACTCTACACCCATTCACCCTTCTCAGTGAGTCAGTCAGTCAGTCAGTCAGTCAGTCAGTCAGTCAGTCAGTCGGTCGGTCGGTCGGTCGGTCGGTCGGTCAGTCAGTCAGTCAAAGAATCCGTTCTTGCTCCTGCACTTTCTGTGCACCCACGGCACTGATTGGGTGGTTGAATGACTTAATAACTCACACACTCACTCACTCACTCACTCACTCCCCCACGCTAACAGAACTCACGCTGTTTTCAAAGCCAGGATCCCCCGGTCTGGGCCAGCCTTTAGTCGACCCAAGCTCTGTGTCGGCCCGTAGGCGGCACTGACTGGGAGAGAGGCACCAGCGCCCGCCCTGCAGAGGAGTGAAGAGGAGTGGGAAGGAGTGGGAAGGAGTGGGGAGGAGTGGGGAGGAGTGGGGAGGGGTGAAGGGGGCCCAGGTGTGGTCCAGCGGCCAGCCGTTGGTGGAGCCCAGGTCTGTGCCGCCCGTAGGCAGCACTGACTGGGGGAGAGGCACCAGCGCCCGCCCTGCCGAGGGGGAGCGGAGAGGGATGGGGAGGAGTGAGAAGGAGTGGGAGAGGGGTCAGAGGTGTGGGCCAGCCGTTGGTGGAGCCCAGGTCTGTGCCGGCCCGTAGGCAGCACTGACTGGGGGAGAGGCACCAGCGCCCGCCCTGCCGAGGGGGAGTGGAGAGGGATGGGGAGGAGTGAGAAGGAGTGGGAGAGGGGTCAGAGGTGTGGGCCAGCCGTTGGTGGAGCCCAGGTTTGTGCCGGCCGTAGGCGGCACTGACTAGGCGAGAGGCACCAGCGCCCGCCCTGTGAGATGGAAACGGGGGGGTGGGAGGAGTGGGAAGGAGTGGGAAGGGGTGGGAAGGGGTGGGAAGGGGTGGGAGAAGGTTCAGGTGTGAACCAGCCCTTGGTTGACCCCAGCTCTGTGTGGGCCGGCACCAGCGCCCGCCGTGAGAGATGGAAACGGGGGAAGGGAAGGAGACGAAGGATGACCAAAGGGTGGATTTGAACCCTTCAATTAGGCGGAAATTTTTTGAAATCTCACAAAACCCGCTCACAAGTATTAATCCGCTCGATTACGCAGGCAAGGGAAAGTTTCTGTTTGTTCCAGATATGATTGTTTGTCAACAGAATTGGGCCTTATAACGGAACACATAACCCCCTCCCCCCCTAACCTATGCGAGCTTGCTAATAACGAGACGCCACTCACCATAAGGTATATAAGCCACCTGTTCGCTCCGACGCCGTACCCAGGACGGTAGTAATACGCAGGGGGGCTGCGCGGAAGATGGGGGGAAATGCGGGCGGATGGGGGGAGATGCGGGCGGATGGGGGGAGATGCGGACGGATGGGGGGAGATGCGGACGGATGGGGGGGAGATGCGGGAGGATGGGGGGAAGATGCGGGAGGATGGGGGGAAGATGCGGGAGGATGGGGGGAAGATGCGGGCGGATGGGGGGAGATGCGGGCGGATGGGGGAAGATGCGGACGGATGGGGGAAGATGCGGGCGGATGGGGGGAAGATGCGGCCGGATGGGGGGAAGGTGCGGGCGGATGGGGGGAAGATGCGGGCGGATGGGTGGAAGATGCGGGCGGATGATCATCAAACCATTGGTTTGCTCTGAGATTCTTCAGTAATCTATGCTCTGAAATCTAAGGCGGATGAGTTGCATTGAACATCAATTTATGCAGCCAGTCCTAAACACGAATTGTTTCCTTGTCGTTTCTGCTTAGATGCCGTCAAACCACACACTCCGCCACCACCCAGCCACTCTGCCGTCTACCAGCCACTCGCACAGCCGCCCACAAGCCACCCGCCACCCACCTGCCGTCCAGGCAAGTCGCGTTGTTCGCAGTCGTCAGCCGCACGAACTGAATGGGCGGCGGAACCGCCCGCGACACGGGTTGAGTCGGGCTCCCGCTGCGCCTGCCTGTCCGCCTCTTGCTCGAGCCGCTGTTACTGCGCCTACCCGCGCTTCCCGACCGCCTCCCCGCACTGTCCGGCTGCCTATCCGCGTTTCCCGACTGCCTCCCCGCGTTGTCCGGCTGCTTATCCGCGTTTCCCGACTGCCTCCCCGAACCGCTGGTTGCGCGCCTGGGGCGACTCGGTGGCGGCGCCGCGCGCCTTGAGCCGGCTGAAGTAGGGGCGCTATCCCTTGTCGTATTCGAAGCGCGGCCTGCTTGTGGCGAATTTCCGACCTTACGTGGCCCCGCGCTGCCCCGAGTCAGGGGCGCGGGGACAGTTGTCCGCGCGGGGAGATCTTTTCCCCGCGCAGGCGGAGACCTCCGCTCAGGAAGATCTTTCTCCCGGGCAGGCGGAGACTTCCGCGCAGGAAGATCTTTCCGCGCCGGCATAGCCCCCCGCGCAGTGCGGTTGACACTTGCGCCGTCGCCGCTGCTTTTTCTTGCTGGCGGGGGGGAACGCTTCCGCCTATTGTTCCCCGGCCCTGCGGCCACGACTGTGGATTGAGACGCGCCAGTATCTGCGGTATTATCCGCTGCGTTATCCGCGACATTATCAGCTACGTTATCGGAGACATTATTCGCTACGTTATCCGCGACAATATCCGGACCATCGTGGTTGGAAGCGCTATTCTGGATGTTAACAAACAAATCCGCGTCATCCCTCGCGCCGCTACTTCTGTATCGGCGGCTGGTGTGGCCTCCATGGGTATGCTTGAGGCGTCGCCGTTCAATCGCACCTGGCTCAGGCGAAATCGATTGCGAAGAGGCTAACGAAGATGTTACCGCGGCCGCGTTGTGATGCTCGCTGTCGTGTGAGGAGTCGGCGGCAGCGAGGAAGGAGTTGCGGGATTGGCGGTAAGAGATGGGAGGGGGGCTAGAGAGGCTGTGGAGTAGCAGGAGAGACAGGAGGAAGACACCCCCTGACGGAAAAGCTAACGGGCTTCGACGCCGGTTGAGACGGCGTGGAGGAAACGTAGCCGGAGATTGACAAAGTTCGAGGTCGAGAGGGTGTGACAAAATCGGACTGTTTCTAAAGTTACGTCTACCGTTGCAGCGACTTCTATGAATTAGCATCGTGCTATTTCCTGCTGACCGCTTTTTCGTCCGATCGGCAGTCACAAAGGAGACGTGACGGCAGACTATACAGCCTCTACCCCCTCTCGCTGCTGCCTCTGACCCTCTCCCTAGTCCGTCGCTTTGAATTACGTTTCGGCCCGGTAAGAAAATTGTTTGGTTGATTACAGCAGGGGCACTAGCAGTTGTCATGAACAGTAAAAGAAACTTGGTGGACGCTCAATGCGCCGTCTAAAGAGTAGTCGTCAGATGCTCCTTGAGCATGTTTACGGTATAGTCGTCGTTAGATGCTTTGTGACCATAATTGAAAAAATGTTCGTTAGTTGCAGCATGAACGGCATTTCTCAAAAAAGGTGCCGACGATGGCGACATAGCATCTCGGGGTAGCCATGGGTCGTCGAGTGTCACGATACATCACGTTGGCTATTAACATCTAAGCTGCAAACCCGTCACGAAGTTCCACACCAACTGTTTGACTTGCGAGTACGTACGCGCAGAATGCCGATCGCCACATGTCGTGCCGTCCTAGCTGGTCAATAAAGCCGTCGCGCTTGATACCTATTAGCTGCTGCAGCCTCACGACGACTAAACTTACGACTCGTGGCTCACGACGGCAGGAGTGCACACAGCACAGAAACACTACATGGGCTGCTCGTATTGTGGGTGGTTGAACACTCACGGAATTGTGTAGTGGACTTCAAAAATGTTTGCGGGGCGCGGATGCGACTCCGCATGCATATCGAAGTGAAGGTATTGGGCGCCACGGGACATTCGCACGAACAAGGGACCAACCCAGAGGGGATGGCAGGGGGGTCTGCTCTGCTCTGCTTGAGCACAGCACGAAATCTGGGTTTCTCTGCCTCCACACTTCTCCGCTCTGACACCGGGTCAGTGCCAGTCAATTCCACGCATCTGACTGGCGAAGAGCCAATGTTGTACGCGGTACAATATTGTTCGCCTTGTCAGTCGCAGAAGGCGTATACAGTTGTTGTACTGGAGATGACTTACCTTTGAGTATGCTGTACAGCCTTCTTCTCCATCAAGTTTAAGCCATAGGGAAAAAAAAGTCGTTGAACCATTTTATCGGTAACTTGTATCTGAAGCACGTGTAAACAACTCAAAAAAATGCACAACCCACTATATACAACCCAAAATATACAAAAGTCACAATATTATGTACAAGCAAAACCGAGTAGAACCATATGTACAACATGGCAGTACCATAACATCTTGCTTATGTACACCACGCTCTCTGTTACAGTCAAGCCTTTGTTCCTTTGTTTCCAAACTCCCATGCTTAGGGGAAGCGAACGAGCTCAGCCTCTGGTGATGCTGCTGGGATTGAAACTCCCAACCGTTGTGCTACCTGGATGCAGAGTCATGGGAGTGTTGGTGGGACAAGCTCGTCAATATAAACACAGGCACATTAAATGCGTGAAACATACGCGAGTGGTGGTAGCAGGAGAAATGAAAGCGTGGAGAAGAGAAAACAGATGCATACAGAGAAACAAAGCAACAGTCAACCCCAGTATCAATC